TTATACTTTGCGAGTTTTCCATTGGGAGGGGAAGTGCACAACTGCACATGCCACCATGATTATTTATTTATTTTTTGAAAATTTGTACGTGGAACCGTAGTTATTCATAATCAATGATGCCAACAAGGTACTATTTGAGAATTTGTAAAGAAGGAAAATTGATGTAATGATACTTGTATGGATGAAATCATATATATATATATCAGTGGTTTTCAAGGTTTTTAAAACCGGACTGGATAGGGAACTGTTTTGGGTTGAATGGTCCAGCCGTCCGGTTTGAATGATGTCTATTTTGACTTTAAAAATTTTTAAAAAAGGGAAAATTCTCGATTAGCACCTTGTACTTTAGCTTAGTGTCACTTTGGTCCCCCAAATTTTAAAATGTGACAATTCAGTACCCAAACTTTTAAAATGTGACAATTCAATACCTGCCATTAATTAGCTGTTAACCAACCATTAAGTGGCATTTGAAAAAAACACAAATGCCCTTCAAGTGCTATTTAATTTTCTTTATCAACCATCTAAACGTTGACAAAAAATTAATAGTTTCAAACCTTTGCCTTTTTCATTCAAGAAAGTTGGGATCACGTTTGAGTGGGCATTCTGGTGACCCCAACTTTCTTGAATAGAAGAGGCAAGGATTTTAGACCGTTAATTTTTTGTCAATGTTTGGATGGTTGATAAAGAAAATTAGATGACACTCAAACGGCATTTGTATCTTTTTCAAATGCCATTTAACGGCTGGTTAAGTAGTTAACAACAGGTATTGGACTGTCATGATTTGAAAGTTCAAAATTGTGGCATTTTAAAGTTCAAAGACCAAAGTGGCACTAGGCCCAAAGTACAGAGTACTAATCGGGAATTTTCCCTTTAAAAAAGCCAAAAAAATGTTATTTGATTCAATGGTTCAATTAATAGGTCACTGAACAAATCAACAATTTTTAGCCAAAAAATGGTTTTAAAATAAAACAGAATCGATTACCTGATAGATTTCCAATTTTTTGATCCGACGAGAGATTAAATTGGTGACTTGAACGGCTGACCGGGTCCCAGTTTTTTGATGCTTATGATGCTGAACGTTCCAACCCACCGCCCACCCAGCTTTCGTGGTCTATGTCTAATTCAATTTTCTACACATTTGATATCTATTGAACTATTTACTTTAGTCATATTAGCGTGCGAAATAAACAATTTTTCATATGATAGGTGAGAATCGTGAGAAACCTCACTGTCTCACTAACATCATGAGATCAATTAGAAAAAGAAAAAAATCATGGTTTTTAAAACCGGACCAGACTAGATTGGAATAACCGGGAATCGGTCAGGTGACCGGTTTTTTTTCTCCAAAAACTGAATTTTCTCCTAAAACCGTTGATTTTGGTCAGCGAACTGCTGAACCAGGCGGTTAACCGTTCGAACGGTTTTGACCATTTTTTATTTTTTTGAAAATTTTTAAATTTTTTAAAATTTTCTTATTAGAATGGGCCGAGCGTTTGGTTCAAACGGTCGGACCATTTGACCTGGTAACCGGACCCCTGACCAGTTTGGTCACCGGTTCGGTTTTAAAAACCATGGAAAAAATCTTTTATTTGTTGGAAACTTGGGACCGGTCATAACAATGTTTTAAAAATTGATTCGGAATTGGAATTGCTTTTGCCACCGTTTTTTAGGTCAACGATTTAACTGTTCATTGCAATTTTGAAAAATAAAAACAACTAAAAATCGTTATTTGGGTCGAACAAGTAGTTGATGATTCGACTGCCTGGGTCAGTGGATTGTTGATTAAGTCAACGGTTTTTAATAAAAGAATGGTTTAGGGGTGTAATGGAACTGATTGCCTGAAAGATTTTCGAGCCAAATGGTCCAGTTGTCCGAATCAACAATGGTTCAAGAACCACGGGTCATTATGTGAAAATGCATACCAATTCAAGAGGAGTTGTGTGGTTACATTTGATTTCCATATCAGAAACCATAAAGTGATTTCCACATGCATATCAGCATTTTCATTCACTTAAAGGGTAGTATTGTTGATGAAAATCAATATATTGTTTAGGTAAATGAAAGTTCCAACAGGCTCAGTTGATAAAGTTTCTGTATGGCTGCAAATGGATGATTTGAATTGAACTTGAATTGCAATTGAATCTTGAAAAAAACATTAACAAATTAAACTAAAAATGATCAAAATATTAGATTACTAATAAAATGAATTAAAAATGACTTAGATGTTATATTTTATTAACAAAATTGAATTAAAAATAACTTGTATGAAACTTAGTAGAAATACAACATTTAAACCAACCTTAATGATAGACACAATATAAATTTTAAGTATACATGGGCATATATATTTGAATTGAATCGAAATAGATATATTATCATATCAGATAGGGGTTGACCCATATTTGATCCAATAAAAAATGGATGAAATTTGAATCACCCTTAATAATTTGAATTCAAATCCAGACAAATGTATATTGTTGCAGCCCTAGTTTCTAGCTGGTTGTAATTGAGACTTGGGGGTCCATTCCCACCTTCACTTAGGTTATGTTTGGTTTGATGGAAAATGTAGGGAAAGGAAGAGAAATGCAGGGAAATCTATACAAGATTTGTAAGGGTTTCCTTACATTTCTTTTCTTTTCCCCATTTTTTTCCTTCAAACCAAACACAGCCTTAGGGTTGGGGTCATGGGTTTGAGGATGAAATAATGAAATGGCTTCTTGATGTTGTTTTTTATTAGATATATTTATTTAATTTTATCCATTGTGTAAACTGATACAAATTAATACAATTTAGCTTCTTTACTTTAATATGCTTTATAGAAGACCATCTACAACACTCGTAAGAAATGATGTTTTACAAGTTGAAGAGGTTAGAAGGGTTAGGGGCAGATCGGAAAAGATAATTGAAATAATAAAAAAATGATTTAAGCCTTCATAATTTAAAAATGGATACAATACTTATTTGGATAAATGCATTTACCTAACTAAGTAACTCACTTCCAAATGAACGGTTCCTAAAAAAATCTCGTTACCAGAAATAGAAGAAATTATCTTTCTAATAATATTGTTTTCGAGATAGTTTTTTGAAAAATTTATCTATTGGCATGAAGATGGCAAGAGATATATATTATAGTTGTAGTCAGTCTGGAGTCTAGAGTCCTCAACTGGTTAGATCATTTTGATCAACATGTCATCCTTGTCATTCTTTGACGTGGTTGAAACAAAATTAAGGTGTAATCGAAAAAAAAATCAGCTATTTCCGTTTGAAGTAGCCTTAGGCTAAAACCGTGAATCAAGTGGCTCACTTTGAATTGGGATGAAGTAGCTTAATGTAGGGTCAAGTAGGGGTGGATTCAAGCTGAATTGAGCCGAATAGCTAGTTATTCGAATTCGGCTTGTCAAAGCAGTATGAGATTCGAGCTCGGTTCGATTTAGCTCAAGCTCAATTTAAAAAAAAAAAATTTCATAAAAATAAAAAAATTATATATAAAAAATATATTTGTATTTAATATTTAAAAAATTAAAAATTATAATAATTAATTATTATTATATAAAATATTATATATAACTATTCGAGCTTGGCTCGCAAAACTCATAAACCAAGTTTTATTAGGCTCGAGCTCGATTCAATTAAAGATTGGTTGAAACCGAGCCGAGCCGAGCCCTGCGGCCAAGCAATGCATCAAAAGCCATGATTTGACGGTCCTAGCCCATAGAAAAGTAATCTGTGTGTAGAACAGTAGGTGATGTCACTGTTACAGACGAGTAAACGACCTTCTCTCCCCAGGCCCGTATTGCTAGCAATCGCTTGCGGGTAAAATAAAAAAACCATTTCGGCTGATGCTAAAAAGACCAAAACACCCCTTATTAAGTTGGTCCACACTCCAGAGTTCAAGAATTTCTCGAGATAAAGCCATTAAACCATCTCTCGTGAGAAATTAAGTAACTGTAATCAAACTCCAATTATAATATGATTGACAGTTAAGAGTTAAGACACAAAAAAAGGAATGCCTAGGTGGCCCACATGTGGTATGACCTACGAATCCATAGGTTATTCCACCGCAATCGTAGGGTTCAGATCCACAGTTACCAATAACCAACTGATCTATGGATCCATACCTTGCACGTGGCAATTTTATTATCTGCAAACATCTCTAATCTTTATCAAGATTCTTACACGTGTCAAGCTTCGCTGGTAAGTTCAGTCTTCCCCGAAGGAACATGTCACCATCCAACGGAAGACACGTTAACCGGTCCAGTTTTCATAGAAGTTCTCGACCGATAGCTTTTTTTTGACGGCTGCGGTTAGAATGTAAAAATAGATTCTATGCTTTTTACAGCACCGGATAACTGCCCGACTACGAAAAGTCATGGAAAACACATGTACAAATGTCGTGGTATACAGGCACACCCATTCAGTCAGGCTTTTAGTAATGGATAATCACAATTTAATACTTTTATCTGACTATTTTGCCCTCAAGCATAAGACCAACCTTTGAGATCTAGAGACACCTAATTTGCCACGTGGCAAACCTTAATGTTTGGGATGGGCTGCCTGTGTTTTAACTTATACCTACTACGCATTCATCGACGGCTACGAGTTCACTTCCCAGTTCCCTCCTTTCTGAAGGACCATTGCCAGGTGAGAATTGAGGAAACAGTCACATCAGCAGGGGAAGTTTTAATTAAGATTCCGTCTGGCTTCGTTATCTACCATAGATGATTTCGTCCATCTAAGGGAAGCTTTGTTATCCACCGTCCAATGGAGACCTTTGCATCAGTTTAGGCAACCGTGTTCCCATACCCAACAACCTGCTGCTGCAGTGCTGCACTTTCTTTATTCAAAAATAAAAGATGGGGCTACAAGGGTATCTTGGTCATTTCAACGAGGAAATCAGATTAGATTAAAGCAGAGAGTTGAGTTTAGAACCCGGGCCCCCGGCTACGAAATCCGTGGTCACATCTTGCATTCTTGCATCGTCATGTGACCATAAATCCTTCTGAAGTTCTGAACTGCGTAAATCTCATCTCGCTCTCTCTCTCTCTCTCTCTCTCTCTCTGCTTTAAATCCCCCTCGCTAAAAAGACTCGTATATTATTATTATTCTCTCTCCAGAGTCCAGCCCCCTCTCTCTCTCTCTCTATAGGCAGCAGCAGAGAGAGAACGACTTTGGTTTTTTTCTTATTTTTTTCCTCCCCTGGCCTTCCCTCTCATTTTCTTCCCTGCGAGTCCCCCAACCCCCCACCCACCCACGAATTCCCACATTCGTAAGCCATGAAAGCTTAGCTCTCTTAAGTCAGGTAAACCTCCTCTGCCGTCTCTTCTTCTCTATCACTTTCTATCTATCTCTGTGTCACTTCGTGTGTGCTATGCTCCGTTTTGTGCTCTCGTCTTGGTTATTTTACATTGAGTTGACAATCGAGGTCAATCGATACATAACCATGAAGACCCATTTGCGCAGGCTTAAGTTTTCACGTGGGTTTTGACGTTCAAGCTCTTCCATGGAGGTTAGCGTACCTTCCATCTTATTCCTTTTTGCATGTTTCCTTCTGTTTATAAGATGATTTAATGTATTCTTCTTCGCGTTCCGGTAGTTGTTTTAGCGTTCGAATAAGTTGAATTTGATGGGATCACATAGAAATTCTCATTGCCAAGTATGGGTTCATGATTCTTGAACGGTTTGTCCAGTTCGAATGTTGCTGCTTTGGTTAAGATTGTAGGACTTGTTGTTTAGAGGTTAATATACTCTTTGTGTCTCTTTAATTTCGCGATATTTTCTGTTTCTTAATGGTCTTCTGAGATGGGCATATGTGGAGTAGCTTTAGGAGTCGTTTCGGGTTTGAAAATGGATCTAGGATGTGCTAGTCTTTGTCTGGGTCTGTTTCTCTGAGGCTTTGTTTGTCTGTATTCCTTGCTGGTGGTGTTTAGTTTGTGAAATCCGTTTTGTGGGTTTTATTCAGTTGTTTGAATATAATTTTTGTCCACAGTGTTTGTGACATTTAACTATGACATTCCCTTTGATTTGCATATACAGGTATTGGGATTTTCTTAAATACTGTTTAATTTTTATATGTATATATCTATATTATTTCTTTCTCGTTTGTTGATCTTTGGTTCTTATTTCTTTTTATATGTATATATCCACCTGCTAAATTTTATTTATGTTCTTTTGACGTGTTAGTCTTTTCTGTTGAACCTTAGGCTCAGTTTGGAAAGAGTACAAATACATACAAAAATAATACAAAATATAAAGTTTTGCACTCTACATATTTGTATTTGTACTCCTTCGAACTGAGCCTTAAGGAAAAAAAGAGTTATCTGAATATTCTTGGTTAGAGGAGCTCTCTTACACTTAGGAAGCACTTGTTGTTTTTTCTGCTCTGAACAAATTGATACTTGATAAGTCATTAGTGTTTAACTTGCTCTTAAGTTGATTTTGCTGGTTCAATATCCTGAACTTCTTATTTTCATTCACATTGACTGTGGGGATTGAAAGGACATGCTATTCAGCTTTGGTTATTGAACCCAATATGGAACTTTCTTACCATGTAATATTTATTTGTTCTCAAGGGAAGATAACTTGGGGATGACTGAACTATCATCTCTTTATGGTTTGCATTCATAGTAATTTTAGTAGCTAGTAAGCTAATTGTGTTGTATAATAGGAGAAAATATACTTGTAAAATTTAATTCTATAAACTAAATCCTTGGCTCCTCTAGTTACCCATCACAAAGGTCCTGACAGCTTACAAAGAAACATATTAGTGTCTAGGTAACCATGGATGCTTGCAGAAACTGCCTTAAATCCCTCTTATTGCCTCTATTCCAGTGCAGTGAATGTGTATGAGCCTTAAGTTATTGACATCTCATCTTGTCTTTTTTGTGCTTGTAAACCTCTAGTTCAGTTAATTACTTTAAGGCGTGTTATCATTTGCAAAATGAATTAGTTTAAATCCATGGTATTCACTTCCCTTTTTGGTGTATTTGAAGATGATATATTTTTAAACATTTTACACAGTTCTTTCCTTCTCTTTAATTTAGTTATACATTTATTTGTTTTAGTTTTAATTTCAGGTACTTTGCAAGTAACTTAAAGTTGATTCACTCTGATGTGACTTGGGTCTTGTTTTAGTTATCATTAACTTGCTAATGATTTGGTCTGCTTTGGATTGTATCAGAGGTTTTATATCCATATTTGTGCCAGTTTACTGCATTCACATTCCTTTTCATTTGATTTTACAGATGGATTCAGTTGAACTGTATCATGAAAGTGAGTGCACTGAAGATGCTTCTCCTGAACAGTTACATTCTTTAGGTTCTCCTGATATAAGTGATATATTTGGAGATCCACAGGTACTTCCTCGAGTTGGAGACAAGTACCAGGTTGAAATTCCACCTCTGATGGCTGAAACTGATCGTCTTCAGCTAATAAAGATCCCAACTGATGCAGAAGTCATGACAGTTGATGTTGCCCATTCTTTTCAAGTGGGACAGTCGATCCCAATTATGTGGGTGCATAATAAACTTAATGACATAAAGAGTGAAACCATGGAGTTTCTGGATGATTTGGATAATGCAATCAATACAAATGGATCAATGGAATGTATAAAAGGCAAGGAAAGCCAAATAAGTTCAAGTAACACAGACTCAAATCTTGAGGTTGAACCATCAGGCATTGCACTGGGCCATGGGAAGGGACAAAATGAATCAGAAAACGAAAAACCTATGGTGGTTGGTGATCAGATGGATGTGGAGTTCCCTTTGCCACAACAAAACAATTCCGTCCAGTATCATCATGCCAGTGGCAAATGTGGCTATCCAGTGCCAGGCTCTCTTGGTGATCATTGGAGTGACATTGAGGAGAAGAGCCTTATCCTTGGTCTATATATTTTTGGGAAGAATCTTGTTCAAGTGAAAAGATTTATTGGTGGTAAACAGATGGGGGATATACTGTCATTCTATTATGGCAAGTTTTATAGGTCAGATGCACACCGTAGATGGTCAGAGTGTCGGAAGTTGAGAAGCAGACGGTGCATACAGGGACAAAGAATTTTTACAGGAGGAAGGCAACAGGAATTGTTATCTCGATTGCTTATGCATGTGTCGGAGGAAAGCAAAAACACATTACTGGAGGTATTATGTAAAATTTTGTCAGATATTACATAAAAAAAATTTTCCTTTAGGATTTACTTCTGAAATATCACTGGATCAAATTAAGTGTTTACTTCTGAAACATTATATCCTGTGTAATAATTATACATTGTAGTGAAGTAAGTTTTATGTAGTACTTACTGCCTTCCTTTAAACCACTATTGTTTATGTATTTGATTCTTAATGTAATAGTTTCATTTTGGACTAAGGGCTTCTTTTTTTTTCTCCACATGGTAATGCTAACCATATTACAGAATCAAAAGCAACAATAGAAATAAAAGAACAACAAGACCATCAAGAGCTAATGATCAAAACCAAGGGGCTAAACAACCAGCCAAGCAGTAAATCAGTACAAAAAGAATCCCCAAAACCTATCAGAGCTAACCTAGGAGGGTCAAGCCCCATTGACCTCTGTTCTATTCACTCCACCACTACCCAAGCTATCAGTAAGCAAGTTGGTTTCAAGAATTTACTTCTTATATGTCCCAAGAATGAACTTGTTAATATGTGGTCTACTGTATCTTTATTCAACAAAGGGTGATGTGAAATAAAACGTATTCTATGATGCTACAATTGCATGTCTAGACTCTAGACTAGACAAAACTCCCCCCTCCAAAAAAGAAAAAGAAAAAAAGAAATAAATGAAAAATAGGAGACTCTCTTAGTGAGCTGCTTGGGAAAACTGATTGCAAATGAGCTGAAATTGGAAAATTTGATGATTGAAAGTGACTCAAAGCTGATGGCGAAGTGGTTGAAAGAACCGGAGCCTGTAATTTGGTGCTACAGAGATGAAGTTAAGAAAATCAAATGTAGGTTTAAAGTACCTCATTAGTCTTACAAAAATCAAATGTAATGCGATGACTGATACATAAGCTAACTTGTATTCTTCTTATTGTGATGTGTGAGGGCATCCCGCACCTCATTAGTCTTACAAAAATACCTAAGTGGTGAGGGATAACCCAATACAACAAAAAACAAAAAAGCAAAAAACAAAACAAAAAATAAGTACATCCATTTTCCTTGCAACAATACATCTAATGTAGGTTTAAAGTACTCCAAAAATCAGAACCAAATTCTTCTCTTTTTGATCCCTCAAATTCTGGTAGAACCAAAACCCAGTATAAAAGCTTTACACCAATGATCATGCATAGCTTCTCCTTGCTTTTCAATTTTCCTTGAAAAATTCTGCTAGTTCTCTCTTTCCACACTTCCCAAACACACTGTGAAAGGAACACAACTCCAAAGAATCTTTACTTTTCTGCTTCCATTGAGAACCAGCCAGAGAGTCAAAGATTTCTTTAGGCACCTGAGATGATCACCTCTCCTTGAAGAGCTGAAAGAAGAATCCCCAAATAAATCTTGTGTACCAGCATTCAACCAACAAATGCAATATGCTTTCTGCTTCTAATTCACAGAGAACACATCTAATTGCCATTTGATACCCTCTTCTCTTCAAATGATCTTGAGTGAGAATGCCGTCCATAGCCACCAGCCATGCATATGCTTCCACCTATTTTCCATTTTCTGGTTCTATGCATATTGAATAATGATGACTCTACTTTTTGAAGACTCAGAATGTTACTGTATTGTACTCTTGTCAGTATCTTTGTTCTTTTGCAGAAGGTGAATGGATTTTCAAGTTTTTCTTTAGATCCTATCTCTGAAATTTAGGTCTCCTATACAAAATTAGTAGTTATATTTTTCTTTTCAAGTATTTTTCTGTTATTACTATCTCTTTGCAGCAGTATAAAACCATAATTCCAGGAGCTTTTGGCATGCCTCTTAAATAAAAAGGGTTTCTGCTATAACTAAACTGGCTGGTAAGGTTTCCTTTTTATTTCCAAGAGATGGATTTTACAGAAGTGGACACTTATTGACTTTTTTGTTGTTTGAGACGACACCATTTTAACATCAATGAGTTAGCTAACCCAGATATAAATATCCATGCTTAAGTTGCTTGGGGATCATTAACTCCATTTATATGTCCTTGTAAGCCATTTTGCCCTAGTTTTACTTTCCTGTAATAGTCCTTCTGAAAATAACGCTGTGTTTGTTCTTTTAATCAGCTTACTGGTACCATTTCTTCAGTTTTTTCTAGATTCTTTTAGACAAGGATGATCTTCCATCTTTCTACCATAATCAATCTAGAAAGGGAAAAAGAACAAGAAAAAGGAAACCTTGCTTTAAACAATGCCATATTAACATGGTGGGTCTTGAATGGATAGTGCTAGACAACTTTGTTGGCATGCTTAAAGTGTGAACAGTTATATATGATCATGGCTTTGAATCTAGAGGGAAATTATATACTGGTCAAAAGAGATGTATTGTACACAATGCCTTGAACCAAATGCAAAAAATAGTCTATTAAATTTTCCACATAGGGTTATTTTGGGTATATAGATATTGGGGTTGGATCAAGGCATAGAGGAGAAAACTCAACACTTCAAAGTAGTGTTTTCAACCTGTCATTGACCCGGCCAGTTGAACCGTTCAAACCGTCACCCGGCCAGGATTTTGGGACCGATTCTGTTAAAACCCTTCAGTCAGTAAAAAACCGTTGACTTGGTCAAAAACCATTTGACCTGGCTGGTTCAGCCGTCGACCCAGTCACCAGGTTGCGGGTTGCACACTCAATGCATGCAAATTTTCGGAGGCCATAACTTTGCACTCCAGTGTCCGAATGGGGTGATCTTTTTTTTATTTTTTTATTTTGGGTAACTTTTCGAGATCTATGCATCCCAACGCCTTGCCTCGCTATTTTTGCAAAAAACCCCTTTTTTGGCCTCAAATCACAATTTTTAATATCTTTATAACTAAAAAAAATATAAACTGAATTAGAAAACATAAATTAAATATAAAATAATACATATAACATATCTAAAACATAATTATACATTATTTATTGATAAAATATGTATTTGTACACATATATATATATACATGTACACACACATATAATGATGATGTGGCACAGTCTGACCCATTTGACCCAGATGGTTGAACCGGTAACCCGCGACCTGGAGGCAAAAACAGTTCAGCCTCTGGGTCGGTTTTTAAAACATTGTTTCAGAGGCTAGCAGGAGGAAGCTAAGGCTATATTACCAGTTGAGAATATAGTAGAATTTTGCAGGGGCCGAAGACAAACATGGATTGATGAGACACATAAAATCTTATTTTCTCCATGTGTTCTTTCTTTGCTTTTTCTTGGTTTCTGATAAAAACTCTTAGGGGAAAGAGTTCTCTCTCTTCCATAATTATGGGGTTTTGTCTTAAAGGATTTCTTAGGAATCTCTATGGATGTACTGCCAAAAAACGGAATACCTGTGATTGACATTTGGAGATACCTAGTAGGGATCCTCAGATCCTCCACAACGCCAAAGTTCTCCAGCCCATGCTGAGGTAAGACTTCAATTTGATGGAAGGTCTCATGGTATCCCTCTTGAGTCTTGAATCCCTAAGAGCTGCTGGTTTTGGCAGATGCTTTATGATGCAAATGATAATATATTTAGGTCTTCAGTAGACCTGTTGGGATGCAAATTCTATTAAGGCTGATGTTGTTGCCCTTCTACAGGAGCCAGAATTGTTGAGCTGTGCCAATTTTTATTCAGTCTCCATCAAAAGTGATTCAGTTAACACACATAGATGGTTCCTATCTGTTGGAAGTGGTTTTTAGAGTATTGATAAAAAAAAAGAACTGGTCTTTAGAGACCAGAACACTTGATTAAATTAGGTGGATGTCAAGGTGGTGTAGACATGGAAAATAGAGAAAGAAACCATGGAAGAAGAAGTTTAATTGATGTCAAACTTCTTCAAATTCTTGTACTAGTGGCAGTTCTGTAATTTTTGGTAAATTTGAGTGTTCTTTTTGGCATGGAATTACACAACCGGGAGTAACCCATTCCTCTATCCATAACCACTGCAACCCTGGTGAGTGGTGATAGTGGGAAGTGGGAGATTTGATCCCAAGTCTCTTCTACAACCAGCTAGAGACCTTTAGCATATTGGAAAAAATTAAAACTACAATCATGTCAGGTTTTAATAGGATTAGCAGTGGATATTTAGAGGTGCTAAGTAGGGGTGGATTTGAGCCGAGTCGAGCCGAATACTTGGCTATTCGAGCTCGGCTCATTGAAATAGTCTTAGGCTCGAGCTCGAGCTTGATTTGAGCTAGAGACTTGAGCTCAAGTTCGGCTCGGTTCAAAGCTTGCAAGTTTGAGCTCGGCTCGACTTGGGCTCGACTACTAGTCAAGTTTTTTCTAAAAAATAAAAATTATACATATAAAAATAAAAAATAAAAAATATACACAAAAAAGTGTTTTTATTTTACATACAAAAAATAAGAATTATAAAAAATTATTTACTATTATACATAAAAAATAAAACATTATATAAAAAATTATTATTATATATATAATAAAAAATATTTATTTTATATATTTATATATTTATATGTATGTATGTATGTATGTATAATAAAAAAATATTTATTTATTATACTAGGCTCGCGAGGCTCACGAGCCGAGCTTCACTGGGCTCGAGCNGAGCCTATGTATTAGGCTCGAGCTTGGCTCAAAGCTCAGTTTAAACCGAGTCGAGCCAAGTGTCGAGCTCGAATAGCTCATGAGATGCTCAGCTCATGGCTACCCCTAGTGTTAAGTCTTTTTTGAGTGTCTTTATGGGTTATATATGAGTTTACCTTAGTGAAATCATAAGTTGATCTTGAGTCTAAATTGGAGTATGTAGAGGGAGTTCCAGGCCCTAATGTTGAGTCTAAAGATATGATCTTTGTAAATGAATTTTTAGAAGAAGAGATGCTTTTTTTTTTGTTTAAATTTAATTAGGGGTTAGAAGGTAGGTAGGAGTGAGGTAGTTGTTAGCCACCATCAATTTGCAGATGATATAATTGTCTTTTGTGATGGCTGTGATGAAGGTAGCATGAGGAACATAAAGGAAATAGTCAATACCTTTGAAAGGGTTTCTAA